TGTCCAAGGGATACACCGAAATGTCCCATCTCGGGACGCTAACCACCAAAGGCGCCAGCCACATGCACCATAAAGGGAAAACTACCCTCTGCCCATTGCTGACATCGCCAGACGCAGAAGGCGCAGCGCTGCCCAAATGGCAGCGCCAAACACGCCAAACCCGCCCAACACTGCTATCATGGGAGTACATCCCAAGGAGGGTTGACCCCTCCTCACCAACCCACACCATTTTCCCTATAAATAGCCCCTATGGGCACAACTTAAAGGCATCTTATGTATCGTGATATTGCCCATTTACTTTGAGTCCTATTGCTTACTGCACTTACTTATTGTCTTGCTATTGCTAGGCATAATACCTCTTAGTCTGGTCTGTACCTAAGCTAAGGGTATCTCCCATACAGTGACTCATCCCTAAAGGGAACATAGTGGTCTTATAGATCCCAACGGTACAGTGAGAAAAATTTATGGTGATTCCAACCTATCACGCTGCTCCTATTAAACATGTGACAATTGAATTTTTTTTCTTTCTCTTCAAATTATTTTCTCCATCTATTTCTTTCAACTTATTCAATGTTTTGTGCGCCCAGCCAAAACAAAACTCCCATCGGTGAGACTTTTACTTTTACCAAAGTCTGGGTACAAATTGTGATTTTCTTATTTATTTATTTTTCTTAAAAGAACTGATTTAAAGCCCAACTAACAGAGGTCAGCCCATGGGCTTATCCACAAAAGGTAAATTAGACCATAATGACCCAATTGTGAAATTCACAAAAAAAAAACTATAGCATAAAAATAAAAAACGTGTGATGTTTCTTATATATATAGGGGCAAGTTATATTTACAAACTTTTTTGTTTACAAATTCTTACAAACTACACTAAGTACGACCGGTCATACTTTAATCATGCAGTGTATGACCGGTCGTACTTAGTGTGATGTATATCATATTATTTATTTTTATTAAAATAATAATAATTAATAAAATAATAGTATTTTTTCTAATTTTTGATAGGTAATAAAAATATGATTCTGCTAGACTTAAATATGCTAATAGACACATTTTGTTTTTTAGATATAAGTCAAGTCAGACTTATAATTTATCTTATACCAAGCAAATAGCTTAGGTCAAACTCAAAACATTTTATATAGGTCTAACTTATTAAGACCAATGTCTAGTTTGATTCAGTGCAGTGACGGAGCCACATGTTAGCTGGGGGTGGCCTCGGCCCGGGCTAAATTTTAACAAATTGTATTTATCATGTATAATTACATAATTAATTATAATTTGGCCCCGTCTAAAATTATAATTTGGCTCGAGCTAAAATTTATAATTTGACCCTATCAAAAAAATAAAATATATTTGATGAGAGATTTTGGTAAGTTGTATTAAGTTATGTGTTCCATTTTCACTTATTTAATAAAATTAAAAAATATGTAATAAAATTATAACCTTTTTAATACTGTCTATTCAGGTATTTTATATTTAATATAATTTAAATATATTATAATATGAACTAATTAAAAAAAATACACATATAATTTTTGGCCCGAGCTCTGGTTAGAGCCTGGCTCCGCCACTGATTCAGTGCATTTACACCCTTATTCACAACTACTTGGACTTGAACAATTTGCAATTTAACAAAAATTCTACAAATTGAATGGTGCACAAGGTCTCTAACATGCCCCACGTCTTGGTTCTTTTCCCTTGCCTGTGACCTTGAGCCTTATAGGATAAATGACGTTCAAATTCAAAGGATGACCCATATGCGTAAGGTATATGTCAATTCTTGTCTCCTCCTGAGTTCATACAGGTTGAGCAAGTGTTGGGGAAGAAATAAAAAAAATGTTACGCATGAGAGTAAAAAATTGAATAAAAAAAAGGATAAACGGTAAGGTAAAGAAACTCCCAAGTTTTTTTATTAAAAAGCTCAATTTCTTAATTTTTATTCATTAGGAAAGCTATTTTTTAAGAGTTTTTATATTTTTAATATTTGACCTAGCTTCTCATTAAAAGGAGATCGGTTAGACCCAAAAAAAGCCATTAGAAAAATAGAAAATGCCTAGTGTGATTGTTTTATTTTTTTTCCTCTTATTGATCATAACACTAATTTCTTCTGTGAACATTGAAATTGGGAATTTCATGTACATTGAATCTATGAAGCACTAACACTTCAAAATCCCTAACGTGTCGTGTCCGGCACTTCCCGATACTCACCGACACTCCGACACTTCTCGACACTTCAATACTCGTTGCAAAGACTCAAAAAAGGTTCAAAGGTTACGTTGCGTACTTGCGTTGCATTTTGAGTTTCAACTATTAGATTCTTTGGATTATTATTACTATTTTATTCGAATTTAATATAAATATTTGGGATATCTTATATTTATTTGCAAAATTGATGGATATTATAAGTTTAGCTTTATTTTTTGTCAAATTATTGAATATTAAATATAATATACACTACATAAATTAAAAATATTATATAATATCAAAATGTGTCCTAACGCGTCGAAATTTAACATTTTTTAAAATTAACGTGTCGGAGTGTCGTATCATGTCGTATCCCGTGTCCCGTATCGGTGTCGGTGCAACATAGCATTGAATTTTCATTTTCATTTGATTTATTATATGACAATAATACTTAATTATTATTGTTAAATATCCATAAAGGAAACAAGGAGCATATTTTAAATCCATGTGTTTTAATAACAAGACTGATTATAATAATTCAACGATTAGATATTCTTGTCAACCTATTTTTAATATTTAGATGTAAATTATAATAATAGGAGGTGCAAAACAAAATATTTGTATCAAATTTGAAGAATGGTAATGTGCAGACTATGGCATCTTCAGATAAATCGGCATTAAGCTTAAAAAGGTACGAACTTAACTTGGAGATAACTCGGTTGAGTGAAAACAATATTAAAAAGAGCCGATCTTTAGAGGGTATTTGCCTATTTGGTAAAGGAAATTTTTTTTATCGGGAAACAATAATTTTCAGAATATGATGGAATTTTTTTTTCTGGGTAAGTTACCAAAAGGTGTTTGGTAGGCCAATTTTTTTCCTAAATATTGAGTTAATTTTCCCACCATATGAAAAAAAAAAACAATTCCACCCCTTCCATGATAATCTTCCCCAATTATTTTACATTAAAAAGCAAATGAAGGGAAAAAAAATTTCAGCCATATTTTTACTTCACCTCCTATCAAATATAGACAAATAATTTTTTTCACCCCATTTTCCTAAGAATTTTTTTTTCACCTCTTACCAAAAATATTTCATGAAAAATTATATTCGAGCTTCTTTATATACAAAATATTTTAAATTCATAATCATTAGCTAAATCTTCATGATTCCCTTATTCACATATATATTTCTTCACAAATTATAAATATTTAGATATAATTAAAAACGAGTTAAAGTATTCTCATTTAAATAACAATTCACCATCTTTCAAAATTTAAATATTACCTCGTATAGGTGGAAAAAATTTATAGTGATTCCAACCTATCACGCTGCTCCCATTAAACATGTGACAATTGAATTTTTTTTCTTTCTCTTCGAATTATTTTCTCTATCTCTTTCTTTCAACTTATTCAATGTTTTGTGCGCCCAGCCAAAACAAAACTCCCATCGGTGAGACTTTTACTTTTACCATAGTCTGGGTACAAATTGTGATGTTCTTATTTATTTATTTTTCTTAAAAGAACTGATTTAGAGCCCAACTAACAGAGGTCAGCCCATAGGCTTATCCACAAAAGGTAAATTAGACCATAATGACCCAATTGTGAAATTCACAAAAAAGAAGAAGCTATAGCATAAAAATAAAAAGCGTGTGATGTTTCTTATATTATATAGGGTCAGGTTATATTTACAAATTTTTCTGTTTACAAATTCTTACAAACTACACTAAGTACGACCGGTCATACTTTAATCATGCAGTGTGCGACCGGTCGTACTTAGTGTAATGTGCAAAAAAAATTTGTAAACGAATTCTGTCCCTATTATATAATATAAAAGTCCTATCCCTATTATATGATATAAAATTAAAGATAAGATATTTTTATTATCAAATATTCTTATTACTAATATATTATTACTCTAACATAATTACATATTTTCAGAAATATATTAAAAGATTTTTTTCTTCATAAATCTTTTAGAGATTACGGACTGAAAAATAGGATTCAATAAAAGTAGTAGTAATTAATAATAAAAATATTTGATAATAATAATATCCTACCTCATAAAATCATGCAGTGTACGACCAGTCATACTTAGTGTAATGTGCAAAAAAAATTTGTAAACGGATCCTATTCTTATTATGTGATATAAAATTAAAGATAAGATATTTTTATTATCAAATATTCTTATTACTAATTTATTATTACTGTAACATAATTATATATTTTCAGAAATATATTAAAAGGTTTTTTTTTTCATAAATCTTTTAGAGATTACGGACTGAAAAATAGGATTCAATAAAAAGTAGTAGTAATTAATAATAAAAATATTTGATAATAATAATATCCTACCTCATAAAATCATCTTTTATGTACAAAAAAATGAATAAATCTTACACACTTTTATATACCTTATATATATGAGATAAGATATTGTGACACACAAATAATGTTACGCACAATGTTAGGACCACATCTTAATCGTTGATTTCCGTCAATCAACGGTTATCATTTTTCAAATCAAGCTTATTAATTAATTATTAATTCGCAATAAATGATAACCGTTGATTGACGGAAATCAACGGTTAAGATGTAGTCGTAACATTGTGCGTAATATTATTTGTGTGTTACAATATCCTATCCGTATATATATATACATAAAATAAAATTATTTCCTAATATTAAACCCCGAAACGTAAAACACGTGTTGGCGAAAATATCTAGGTCATCGAGAACCTTCTTTTCTTTGTGACCGCAAATTCCTTATTTAACAACAGATGGCACGCCGATTCGGCATTTACATTGGCGCAACTAACTCAGCCCATCTGCACCGTTGGCTCCATTTGTTGCCAAGCAATCACAACCGTTTATTTTCTCCAGATTCCACTATATAAAACGATCATAACATTTTTCCCTCGTTCATTCCATCGTTGCCGCGTAAATCGGAATCGGCGCATTCGCTTTAACCTAGCAAATTTCTCCGTCCAAACCGTCCTTTGATTCAGTCAAAGGCAAATTTTCGGTTCATATCGCATGGATCGAACCTTGATCTGGTTTTTAGGATGGTTAATTGGAGATTCTGTCGATGTTTCGGTCTCCGTTTTGATGGAGGCCAGTGGAATTGCTACATCTGCAAGGAACCGTTATTCAATCTGGTCGTGAATCTGATAAGGTAAGTTATATTTTTGTTTTTTTTCGAGTTCTGTTATCTTTATATGGATTTCCGTATAATCGGTTATGATTATTGTGTTGGTACATCTCGGTGGCGCCGCTGATGATCGTGGTTATCTGTGGTCCATGCTGGTGGTTGAGATGCGCGAGTTTTTGTTTCGAAACAGAGCAATTGAAGCGAGATTGGTTGTATAATTTTGGTTGTATTCAATCCTTTAGGAGATTACCTGTTATATCGATTGTGGATTTGATTGGTTGAGTTGAAGGTTATGGTTGAGAGAGATGTGTGAGGTATACACCAAAGGTACTTGTTCTGTTTGTTAGTTTGTTCTATTGCTTGTTAATGGACCTTTGCCATGTCAGGTGCGCTTGCATGGCAGGTCAGAAAAACCTCAATAAAATTACGACTCTTTTTTCTGTTGCGGGGGGAGAGATTCCGGGTTTTTAATTATTTTATTTATTTTTCATGGCAGGTTGGCAGGTCAGAAAAACCTCAATAAAATTTTTTTCTGTTGCGGGGGGAGAGATTCCGGGTTTTTAATTATTTTATTTATTTTTCCCGGCTCTCCCTCCGCTGTGTGTGTTGCTTCTTCCCCTTCCCCTTTCTTCGTATTCTTCTTTTCTCTGCCCTATGAATTTTTCTGCACTCTAGTACGTTCTACACATACCAGGATTACGATTAGAAATCGGTTATCGTTCTGGAACCCGATTCAACAAAAGATTGGCAATCGATAAGGTACATGGTTCTGAAACATACTTTCATTGATTTTAGTTACATGGTTCATGAATTTTTTTTTTCATGAAATTCACTAAATGTGTGCGGACATAAATTACATCTTCTTGGTCCGTTCTTGGTCCGCCACTGCTTAATAATATAATTTTACATTTTACAACTACCATTATACCTCGCATGGCCTAAATTCATAGCATCGTTTTATATATTTATAATTAGAATAGTTCTCATAGCATCGTTTTATGAATTTATAATTAGAATAGATGGCCTGCACACAATTAAACTATAAGATGTTTTCATGGTTTTGCTGCAATTGCAATTTGACATATACAAATGATTTATATCTCTTATGTCAAACACTGCTTTTAGATTTTCACGATTAGTATAACAATTTTTTCTATAATTAAATGGCTCATTCAATTCTTTAGACAGAAGAGAGCAATATCGGTGATACAATAGTTTATGATCATAATAATATAGATATTAAACTTGCTAGTAATTTCACTGATCTCCTTTTAAAGCTACACAAGTTTACTGTCGAACTTTAACAACTTATCGAGTTAGTAGTGGCTTTTGATCATCCAAAATTATATGTTACTATTGTATGTGCAATATACTATTTAATTAAAACAAGCAAAGAAACTTCGTAAGCCTATATCGTTGACTGTTGAGAGCCCATGCGCACTTGTACTTTTTCAAAAATGCAACATGTAATCTTACGGTTCAATCTCTTGCCAAGTTAATCTGTCATTTATAAGTAATATATGTGTTGATTTATGATTCGGATACTTATATTTCGATCTATGGTATACCTACGGAAACCAGTTATTGTTATCATGTAGAATTATGCCGGTACAATAATTTAAAGTTTGATTGGTGACTTGTTGCGGCTGTATTGCAAAGCTTCACTTGTACCAGGGTCTTTTTGGGGTATGTGGGAGTTTGTAAACGTGTTTCCCAAAAGCTGCCTTGGTTAGCTTTTGAGGCAGTGGGTACAGAAGGCTGTAAAACCGTTCCTAGTGTAGCTTCAAGGTTCGTTGTATGTGCAGTTCGCTATTGTGGATCTACCTGAGCTTCTGACCTTTTTGGAGCATTTTGCTACCCGCAAAACACCTTTGTCAATCAGATTTCTGAAGATGTGAGTGACTTTTAACTGCTAGAGAAGGCTTGCGGTTCTGTGAAGCTGGGAAAGTCATCAGACAACTTAGTAAGATATACTTGTTTGATCTTGAATGATTGTTACAGGTTATTGGCAATGGGTAGTCATATTCATCCTTTCGTTTTCCTTCTCTGCAGGCCCTTTCTGGATTTCTGAATCAGCTTATCTGCATAATTGCATTTTGTTCTTTGGATCAATGGTTAGTCTTCAGGCCATGATGGTTTTCTTTGTTCAAGGATCGTTTATTTCGTATAGGGAAGATGTTGGCATTAAACACCAATATTTCATTGTGTGGCGTGATTGTTTTCCTCGCGTCGTCCTCAGAAATATAGGCCCTGATTGAATATTGTTTCTAAGAACAGTTTTTTGGTTTTCAAAAAATAAAAATAAAATCAGTTTGTTAATGTTTGTTTTGTAAAAAATGTTTTAAAAATTATATATATTTTATTTTTAGAATCAAATTTAGAAAGTATTTAAGTTGTTTTTGTTGTCTTTTAACTTTTAAAACATAAAAAAACATCCGTTTTCATATCAATTTTAGAAAACAGTTCTAAGAAAAGAAAAATTAGAACACAATCAAATAAACCCATATGTCCGTTTGAATTTTATTTCTAATTTTTTTTTTAATTTCAGATAATTGTTTTTTTTGTAAAATTAATTTAAATTTATATATACTTTTTAAGTTTTAGAATGAAATTTAAAAAAAATTTATTGGATGTTTTTGTTTTATGTTTTTAATTTTTAACTTTTAAAATAAAAAAAAATACTGAGAATATTCATTTCATTGTGTACTTTTCAAAATAGTTCCAAGAAAAAAAGCTTAGCACAGACAACCTTACTTCGATGCATTTTTTTCTTCGTAGTGTCTAATATCGTATTGATGGCCTCAATATTTAATGTCTAGTAGGTGGTTCATTTACAATGAGTTGGCCTTGTCCTATTAGCGACCTTTCGTAACTTAATTTATTTTGTCTTGGCAGGTTTATTTATTGTTACTCGCTTGAAGGAAATTTTAATTTGATACCGGTGTGAACATTGTGTTGATATTACCAAAAAATTTCGGTTTCGTCTGCTTCATCAAATTAGACGATTCTGTTATATCAACTATTGCCCGTGTATAGTCTTGTTTCTTCACCGTTCAACGAGATATATTCCCGACGTTAGTTGATGTTTTTATGGCCTCCGCCATTGTTGGAGTGATCTGTAGTTCTTGGAAACACGGTATTTATCCTTTCTATTTTTTAAACTTCATTTTAGTTCGATTATGTTGAAATTTAGTTGCTGTAGGTCTTGTATATGTTTACTGTTTGTCATTGAATTGGTTTTGATTTTTGTTAGGTTGACAATAAATTCCAGTGAGCTTGCTGATGACCACACCATCAGATTCTCCTCTCTATTTTTAGTGCTTTCAGAATGAACTGATCTCTTCTTTATGCGACTAAAATTCCGCTGCCTTTTTTATTTGTACTCTTGCGTTATACAGTAACGAAGTGATGAATTAGTGATAGTCGGCTCTGATTCATATTAGAGTTATTGTGAATAATATCGATGGTAATTTTTTCTATGCCAAATTTATGCAACTCGTAACATAGTTTCTTTACTATAGATATGGAAAGGATTCATTTAGAGTACTGAAAATCCGTTTTTTCTTGGTTGGAGAGGTAAATTGCATGTTTTGAAATGGCTTAAGTTTGAAAAAAAAACAACATCTTTTTAGTGCAAGTTTTGTAGTGTATTTGAAGGGTAATATGCTGCTGGACATTTATGTTGATTTGGTTATTAATGTTATTAGACGTAATTTTACGAGTATAAGATGTATGTGGTCATGTATTCTGGGTCTTAATGTCAAATGTGACATTATTCAAGATTTTATGATGGATCCATAAGCTCCAATTGGAAAGAGCGCCCAACTACTGTGTATGGGAGGATGGTGGTTCGAGTCCGCCTGGATCCGCTGACCCTTGTCATGTTAAAACTGAACACCAATTTTTATCTAGAAAATGGGAGTTTTGGTCGGGATTATGTTTATGGGAAAGGTGAGTGGGAGGTGTTGGAATGGCGTGTTGACTCTGCTTTAGTTATTCTACCAGTATTACAACTAGTGAATTACCCGTGCAATGTCCGGGAGAAAAAGAACAAAATATTTGTCGTCCGCCGTGGTTAGTTAATCGTGTAAATTTTATACTTACAAAAATATGTGTTGTTATCTTGTTTTATATTTCAGGTTAAAAATTACAACATTGACACAGAACTTTGCAAATGTCAACCACAAACAAAAAATTGCTATCCAGAGATGCGAATCAAATATAGTCATCTACTCGATGAGTTATGTAAAAAATTAATACGCCATAGTCACAATTAGGTTTTTATATTTTATATGAGAGATAGACATTCATTTATTACAATCAGATTTAAAAATAATAATAAATAATTGTTTTTTGCAAGGATTTGTGTCGTTTGTATTTGAAATTTTACAAATTTGTATTTAAAAAAATTAAAATCATATTTAGGAATTTTTTTTTGGGAATCAGATTTAGGAATTTAATTATAAAAGAAAAAGGATAAAATTTTAATTTAATTATAAAAATGTGTTGTGGACCGGCCCTCTGGGCCGAACCCAGTTTGTCACCTCTAACTATTAGCATGTAATATATTTTTAAATTTATCCACAAAAAAGGTTATTATAGTTGCGTCAATGTTTTTATATTTTATCTCATAGATGAACTTTAATTTATTACAATTAGATTTACAAAATAATAATAAATCGTTATTTTTTTGTAAGAATTTGTGTCGTTAATATTTGGAATTTTATAAATTTATATTTACAAAAATTGAAATATGAATTAGGAATTTAATTATAAAAGAAGAATAGGGAAATTATAATTTAATTATAAAAATGTGTTGGCAGGCGGGGCGGGCAGGTCCTCTGGGCCAAGCTCATTTTTTTGCAAGGATTTGTGTCATTAGTATTTTGAATTTTACCAATTTATATTTACAAAAATTAAAATCATATTTAGGAATTTAAATATAAAAGAAGAAGGATGAATTTTTTTTTTTTTGGTAAGGCAAGGATGAAATTTTAATTTACTTATAAAAATGTGTTGGTGGGGTCGGCCCGGAGCCCAGTTTTGTCACCTCTAACTATTAGCGTGTAATAGATTTTTATGTTTATCCACACAAAAAAGACTCTTATAGTTGCGTCTAGATTTTTATATTTTATCTCAGAGATGAACTTTCATTTATTACAATTAGATTTACAAAATAATAATAAATAGTTATTTTTTTGTAAGGATTTGTGTCGTTAATATTTAAAATTTTATAAATTTATATTTACAAAAATTAAAATCTAAATTAGGCTTTTAATTATAAAAGATGAATAGTGGTATTTTAATTTAATTATAAAAATGTGTTGGCAGGCGAGGCGGGCAGGCCCTCTGGGCCAAGCCCAGTTTGCAAGCTTTAACCATCAGCATTTTATGTCAACAATTATTTTTTTGCAAGGATTTGTGTCATTAGTATTTTGAATTTTATAATTTATATTTACAAAAATTAAAATCAGATTTAGGAATTTAATTATAAAAGAAGGATGAAATTTTAATTTACTTATAAAAATGTGTTGGTGGGTCGGCCCTCTGGGTCGGAGGGCCGAGCCTAGTTTGCCACCTCTAACTATTAGCATGTAATAGGTTTTTGTGTTTATCCACACAAAAAAGGCTGCGTCTAGATTTTTATATTTTATCTCATAGATGAACTTTCATTTATTACAATCAGATTTACAAAATAATAACAATCAAAAAAATTTGCAAGGATTTGTGTCGTTAATATTTGAAATTTTATAAATTTATATTTACAGAAATTTTAATCTGAATTAGGAATTTAATTATAAAAGAAGAATAGTAAAATTTTAATCTAATTATAAAAATGTGTTGGCACGCGGGGCGGGCAAGAGAGAGACAGATACCAGAAAAAAAATTAGGGTAAATTACACAAAAACTCCTTGTACTTATGGGTTGTTTCAAAAGAACACCATAAACTTTCAATTGTATCAATTAACCCCCTTAAACTATAATTCTAAAACAATTTAACATATTTAACAAAATTAAGACAATAATACCCTTATTTATAACCTATCCATGTTAATCGTTATCACCGCTACCTGCTCTTGCTCCACGGCCCTCACGGTCCCCACCTTGTCATCCAACATAGTTAGTGTCTTTATTTTCAAGTGCAGTTTCTAGTATGAATTTAGTAAGCAATTGATCAGAAAAGAAGAGATGAAAGAGATACTTGATGGTCAAACAAATCACACAATCCATTGCCCGCAATCCGTCAATGAGCCTTGTGCTTTTTTTCACTATGGAGGTTTTACCAAGCACTCAAATAATAGCATCAAAGAATGCCAAGTAAAACCCATATTGCAGCAATTGCAAAGATGAAACCAATTATGTCTTTGAATTAATGAAATATTTGTTCTTTTGACCACAACATAGTCACCAGTATTCAAACAAATGACTTCACCTTACCTTGGTTCATCTGCAGTTCAAGGAAGACCCTATGCAACAGATATCCTCTGCTTCTCTTCTTCAGTTACCATCTCTTGTATCTTCTTCACAAATTCTTCCTCTTTCAACTTTCCCCTTTGGTACAATATCATTCTGTTGAAATTGTTGCTACCAAATTCATTGGTAAATAACAATGATAATAATGAAAAATGATCAATCAATCAAATACCTCAGTTCTTACCTTGAATGATTTTTTATTAGTGACTTTCCGATGTTTCTTTCTCCACCTTCTTCCTCGAAAGTGTTTGAAGATTTCATTCGTTCAATTCAAACTCAAAACTCTAATTGGTGAATGAATTATTAACCATTATGATTTTTTTGTATAAACATAACTTCTAGTCTTACATTTCTCGTTTCATCGACTCCCTGATAGAAGGCCTGTTACATTTCTCCTACAATGGCTGGTGACAGGGTGGCGACCGGGGCAGTGGTGCAATTAGTGGGTGGTGGCGATGGTTATGGTTAAGAATATGGGTATTATTGTCTAAATATTATTAAATTTGTTAAATTGTTTTAATATGATAGTTTAAGGGAGTTAATTGATTGAATTGAAAGTTTAAGGTGGCTTTTTGAAACAACACCAAAGTACAAGGTGGTCTAGTGTAATTTGCCCAAAAAATTATTTGAATTTTAAATTAAAAAAACCACCCACTTTCTCTCTTCTATGATTTCTATTTTTCTGTGTCTATCTCTCCTCTAAAATGACATAACTTATGTCACTTAAAGTGACAAATACCAAACTCATATATATATATGTGTGTGTGTGTGCACGCGCGCGTGTTTGTATTAGAAACACGATCATTATATAAAAAAACAAAATTAGAATACTCTGTTTAATCAAATTCCAATTTTTGATAATTTTAGTTTTTGCTTTATATTCTTTTCCCACTTATCAAGTTCAAAAATCAAATTTAAAAAGTTTGAATTATATATATTAAATATTTCCCTCCAATAGATATAATAAATAATATTATTAACATGCTTAACAATTTTCTATGCAAAAAGTAATGAGAAACATTAAAATAGTCTGTAAAATACTTAATGGCAAACATCTTTTTACGATGCAGGAGTTGAATGGTAAGTGGTCACTGAATGGTCATTCATTTTTATAGTTATTAAATTTTTATATTTTATTTTATACAGAATGATAGATGTAATTTTTTTTTATTAATTTTACATATTATTCAAAAAAATAATCTTTTTTATCTTTTAATTTATAATTTTTAGATTAGATTTACATATAGAATACTTGTTAATTTTTTTTAAGTAAATAATATTTTTTTATGCAGCATTAATATGGTTAACAATTACCCATGTAGAAAGTAATGGGATAATGTCTACAAAAAAAAAATATAATGAGATAGTAAATGAGTTGTGGCAGACACCAACAATTGTTCAAATATTTTACCACCCTTTAAAATTCAAATTTAAAGTGGAAGATGAGATCAGAATTTAAATACCCAACTGCACAATCAAGAGAGTGACACTGAGAACGATTCAAAACCCAAATGATTCACATTGACGCTTCAATGTCACCATTTCGTATAACGCGTTGTGTTTAATGATGTATATATCATCGGCTGACCACATCCATTGGAACATGGAATGTCGCAGGTAAATTCACCCATTGGATATATCATCTGCTGCCCACATCTAGTGTTATCATTATTAATTGAAAAAAATCTCAATGACAGAGTCGCATGCTTTTAAAGAAATGGACGATTTCCAAAAAAAAAAAAAAATCATGACTTTACGTGGATCATGCAGAACTGAATGACACTGTTTTAATCACCCACGCTTTCCATATACAGTCGTTCCATATTACACACTTGAGCTCCTTTTTATATTTTTTTAAACACATATTCAAAGTTTCAATTAAAAAAAATCAGAACAAAAAGTTTGAATCAAAATTAATATTGATTCTGTAGATTTAAATTGTACGTTGGGATGTATTTCGTAGTTATAAATGTTATTTTTTTTTGGATTTCACTGAATAAAGGTTAATAAAAATTCAAACTGTAAATTTTTAAAATAAGAAACAAAAATATGAATTAAAACTACTTATTTTTTTAGATTTTAATCGTATCCTAATCTGTTTTTAGTAGTTATAAATGTTATTCCACACCAAAAAAAATGTTATTTTT